CCCCCTCAATTTCTTCAGAGGATTCAAGAGGACATTTGTGGACCTATCCAACCAACTTGTGGACCATTCAGATACTTTATGGTGTTAGTTGATGCATCGACACGATGGTCACATGTTTTCTTGTTATCCACACGCAACGTCGCGTTTGCTAAACTCCTAGCTCAAATCATTAAGCTAAGGGCTCACCACCCCGATTATCTGATCAAGGCGATTCGATTGGATAACGCTGGAGAGTTTATGTCACATAATTTTGACGATTATTGCATGTTAGTAGGGATTAATATGGAATATCCTGTACCTCATGTTCACACCCAAAACGGCCTGGCAGAAACTTTCATAAAGCGCATTCAATTGATCGCTCCGACTTTGGTTATGAGAACCAAACTGCCGGTATCTTCCTGGGGCTATGCAATATTACACGCAGCTATGTTGGTCCGCCTGAGGCCTATCGCTACCCAACCACATTCACTGTTACAGTTGGTCACTGGATACGAGCCTGACGTTTTGTATTTACCGGTGTTTGGGTACGTCATTTATGTGCTAATAGCGTCACCGCTACGTACCAAAATGGGTCCTCAGAGAAAAATGGGAATCTATGTCGGTTATGATTCGCCATCAATTGTTCGCTACTTAGAACCTTTGACAGAAGATCTCTTTACCGCATGTTTTACGGATTGTCACTTTGATGAGACAGTCTTCTTGTCGTTAGGGGGATATAAGCATGCTAACGTTCTCGTAGAACGCTGCGAATTGTCGTGGTATGCTTCTACTATGTCTCATTTAGATCCTCGCACTGCCCAGTCTGAAACTGAGGTGTGTCGAATTATAGATCTTTAGAGCATGCCAGATGTTTTAATGATCTAGTAAAGGTGACAAGATCACACATACCAGCTGCAAACACACCTATAAGGATAGATGTACCCCGCATACGTCAACAACCCGACTGGGAAGGCTGGACCGTCCCCGAAGGTGGGGAGGCCGCACCTTCCACGCAGCAAGGTACATTGGCGGCTAGCCAATCATCTGCTCCGACCCTGAAGCGTGACAGACCCCTTGGTTCAAAGGATTCACAACCCCGGAAGAGGAAAATGACACCAACTAGTGACCCTAGTTTGAATCTGACCATCACTCACTCATCCATTCCAACGCATGAGGTTATTCTAGATTACGGTGATGCTTCATATGAAACCTGCCGGCCTCTCTAGAATTGCGAGATTTCGGTCCACTACACAGTATTGGATGAGATTTGGAATAGGAATGAGATGATAGTCAATGGTGCATTCTCGTACTCTGTAGCTACTGACATCATGTTTATCGATGACATTGAACCACATTCTGTCGATGAATGCCAACGTAGAACTGATTGGTCAAATTGGAAACAAGCAATCCAGGTCGAACTCAATTCGTTCGTGAAACGTAAGGTATTCGAACCTATCGTTCCTACACCACTACGTGTGAAGCCCGTTGGCTACAAGTGGGTTTTCGTGAGGAAGAGTAATGAGAAGAATGAAATAGTGCGATACAAAACATGCCTCGTAGTGCAAGGTTTCTCTCATCGCCCAGAGATTGATTACGAGAAGACGTATTCCCTCGTAATGGACGTTATAACGTTCTGCTAGCTAATCAGTTTGGTAGTTTTTGAAAAACTAAATATGCAGCTTATGGACGTGGTAACCATGTATCTCTATGGGGATCTAGATATGAAAATTTATATGAAAGTTCCCAAAAGACTTCCATTGACGGGTTCAAATAGTTCTAGACCACGTAACACTCTCTCAATTAGGTTGAGGAGGTCACTCTACGCATTAAAACAATCCGGGCGGATGTGGTATAACCATCTGAGTGAATATTTGACAAGTTAGGGTTATGTGAACAATGAACTATGCCCATGCATGTTCATAAAGAAGTCACATTCCGGATTTGCAATCGTTGCAGTTTATGTCGATGACATGAACCTCATTGGGACTGTCACAGAGCTTGAGGAAATTGCTACACACTTGAAATCGGAATTTGAGATGAAGGATCTTGGGAAAACTCGATACTGTCTCAGCCTGGAGATTGAGCATTGTTCAGATGGAATCCTAGTATATCAATCGAACTACACCCAAAATGTGTTGCGACGTTTTAATGAGAATAAAGTGAAGCCTTCGAGTACACCCATGGTCGTTCGGACTCTAGATGCCAAAGAGATCCCTTCCGTCCAAAGGAGGATGAAGAAGAGATTTTGGAACCCGAAGTTCCTTACCTATGTGCAATTGGGGCTTTATTGTACTTGGCTCAGTGCACTAGACTCGACATTTCCTTCGCTGTGAATCTATTGGCTAGATACAACAACGGACCTATATGCAGGCACTGGAATCATGTTAAAGACATTTTCCGTTACCTTAAAGGTACTACGGAATTAGGTTTGTTCTATACCCGCGAATCTCCAAGTGTTGCCGCCCTTTATGGCCATCATATTGATTCTCGCCTTGTTGGTTATGCAGATGCTGGATATCTGTCTAACCCATATAGAGCACATTCTCAAACGGGTTATGTCCTTACCGTTGGAGACACTGCTATATCTTGGAGTTCTACCAAGCAAACGCTAGTTACGACTTCGTCAAACCATGCTAAGATGCTCGCTCTACATGAAGCATCGCGTGAGTGCTTTTGGCTGAGAGAAGTTATGGAACATATTCGAAGCACTAGTGGTCTTACATCAGTCGTTAACCTTTCTACGACGATCTTTGAAGACAATGCAGCATGTATTGAGCAGTTGAAAAAAGGATACATCAAGGGAGACTAAGGGTGGGCACGGTTTGGTTCAGTGCGGTTTTGAGTGAAACCAAAACCGAAACCAAATTTTTTTACGGTTTGGTTTGGTATGGTTTTGAAGCCAAAACCGAAATGAAACCAAACCGTTTGGTTCGGTTTGGTGCGGTTTCAAATGGTTTCGGTTTGGTTTTTAAGAAAAAATGTACAATTTGCAATTTAACATATTACTAAGCATTTCCCAGTAGCAATAGGAAAAAGACATTTGTTATATAAACAATTAGCATGTTGCATGCAGTTGTGATGTTAAAATATGTTTGTGTAACAAAAGGGTGTCCCGTACAAGGTATAACATAAAACAAGTTGAATAACTTTGAATTCATTAAACATGAGCGAAACTTTCATACTATAATATGTGATATCATGCTTCAAATGAGTGGACTTCATTAGATCATTGTTTGGCTCTTGATAACAAGATTAGTCCACCCTTGTACATATATATGTGTGTGTGTGTGATGGTATAAAATAACAAAGGTCATTCAAGTTAATAAACGAAAGAAAGTGATGAATGATGATATTCTAGTGTGGTTGTGTCCATACTAAATGCATGGATTCTAACAAACAACCAATTAAAACATGAAATTTAATATGGACATTTAATTAAATGTTTATTAATATTTACGGTGCGGTTCGGTTTCGATGCGGTTTTCAAAAGCCAAAACCGAAACCGTTCCAAAACCGCAAAACCAAACCGTTCGGTGTGGTTCGATTTGGTTCATGTTTCGGTTCTAAGTGCCCACCCTTAAGGGAGACAACACCAAGCACATAGCGCCGAAATTCTTTTACTCATACCAACAGCAGCATCATCAGAACATTGAAGTCAAGCAAATCCGTTTCCAAGACAACCTGTCCGATCTCTTTACCAAGTCATTGCCCAAGTCTACATTTCAGAAGCTCGTCCAAGGAATCAGTATGCGTAAATTATCTGAGTTGAATTGCTTGTAGTTCTCTTATTTAGAAGTTAAGTCTAACGGGGGAGTATCTAGAAGCATACTCACATGATCTTAATGTACTATTTTTCCTATGATTAGGAGCATTTTTCCTACTGAGTTAAAGAGGTTTTAATGAGGCACCAATCCTGGGATAATCATACTCCGATGAGTTCACTACCTTTGTCCAGTTTGACGAGTGTTTTAGACATTATGCATACTTTCTTACTTTTCTCCTTAGTCTATGGGTTTTCCCCATGCCTTGGGTTTTACCATAGCAAGGTTTTTGTGAGTTTTTGCAAATGCATACTTCACTTAAATTTGAGACTCGTGATCACCCGTTATGCCGATGACTTCATCAACTATTCTACCTTATCTGCTGAAGATCTAATGCGATGGTTTGTTGAGTATTTACACACTCAAGGGAGAGTGTTGCAGTCATATATAGAATATGAATGTGATTGTGTAAATTCTAGGGAATTTGGGAATGTATCTTATATTCCCATTAGGATTATATTACCTATTAAATGTTGTAATACTAAAGGGAAATGTTTTACCCTTCCTACTACTATAAATAAAGGCACAATGGGGTGAATCAAACACACCTCACAATTAAATCAAAAGAAAACTAATGAAAAAGACTTGAAAACTTTGAATTTTAACGATAATGACAAAATAAATGGTAAAGTGAATAATACCAGGTTTGACTTTTTAGTGTAAAAATGTGGTTTTTCGTTAAAGTGAACAGTACCGCAAGTTTTTCGTTAAAACCTCCTTAAATCAATCTATCTTCTCTCTAATAGTGGTCAACCCCCTCTCTCTCCCTCTAAACCCTAAACCGTTCAATCAAATAAGCCTACAATAATTTAATATTATTCTCATACTTATTTTTATCTCTTATTCCTATTTTCTCAGTTTTTGATAATCGAATTGAATAAATTTGTAAATAGTAATTTCCTTCAATTTATTGATGTAAAAAAGTATTTTAATTTAAAAAAATAAAAACAAACAAAGCGAATGGGTTCGAGGGAAGTTACTGTAGCTTGGACTGGACTAGTCTGAAAACCAGCCGACAAGAAAATTTGGCGGGAGGTGCAGGCAGAGAGAGAGAGAGAGAGAGAGAGAGAGAGAGAGAGGAACAGTCATAGTTAGGGAGTCCTCGTGATGCGTGCAAATCCTAAAACCCTCCTTTAAACCCACAGAATACACCACTGAATACACCGACACACTCACTCCTATATATGCATTACACACACTATGGTACGTCCAGTCTAAAGACTCTGGAGAGAGAATACTTTAGAGAGAGAGAGAGAGAGAGAGAGGGGCATCAAATCAAGGGAAACAAAAAGAAGCAATGCTGCGACTTACTGTTGCTGGAGCAGCTCCAACCCGATATCTTTCTGATGGGTCTTGTTCCTCGTACCCAAGGCACGTCTCGTCGGAAATTTGTTTCCACTCCTCAACAAGGTAAACTGATTTTATGTTTCTGTTTTTCAGTTATATATGTTTTTTGATTTGTTTAACGTTGCTGCCGTTTTGGGTTTGCATTGAATCACCCCAGACCCAAATCCCTATACTTTATTTCACACACACCCGTCCCAAATCACGATTTCGTTCCCCTTTTTTTATTTATTTTGAAATGAAAGATTGCATCTTTTGTCGTTTAGGAATTTTTATTTCAAGAAAGTTTCTCTCTTGTTCCGTATGCTGATTTGGGTGCTTATTAGGAGTCACTTTTACAAGGGATTTCCGCACGCTCTTTTTCTCCCTTGCATCCCCTTCTTTTTTATAGCCGTTGCATTCAATAAATCAAATGACAGAAACAAAGAGAGGGGTGAAGAAGGAGAAAACGGTAGTGCGAAAATCGTTTTTGTAAATCCTACCGAATGCTGGAACAATGTTGCATTTTCTAAAATCTGAATTCTTCGCGATATTCCAAGTATTACGAATCTTTGTTTGCATGGGTCAGGGTCGGTACAATCTGGCGTTGTGATTGTTAGTTTTCGTTTCATCTCATTTGATATACGAGCGGGATCGTCTAGCTGTTGCTCTCTGGAGTTATTGTTTGAGAGGCAGATAAATTGTATACACTTCACAAGGCACAAAAACAAGTGTTGTGTAAAGCTAATGAGCGAAATGCCAAATGTGGTAGTGGCTCCTTTGTTTTTCGATTCAAAACTTTGACTCTAGTTAGTGTCCGAGTGATTTCCAAACACGGTGAGGAGCAGTGGAAATTAGTATCTGCACCGAGGGCATCTGACGATACAAATAGTTCTGTAACATTGGGAGCGAAGAGAAAATCACTGTTAAGACTAGAATTAGTTGTGTTGGTGATAATATCAATGGGGACTAAATGCGTCCTTGCTCAGGCATGTTAAGAAGTGCTGCTGTTTTGCTCTTTCCCGTAGGCAGGCTTACAGTCTTGATTTTTTATGATGGACTGTGGTTTGGTAGATAAATAGTTGCAAGAAGTGCTGTTGTTTTGTCTCTTTCCCGTAGGTGGTCCTTGGCACTGGAAAATGGCATTGGATCATAAATTTAATTTTGGATTAAAAGGCCTGTGAGGTTTCAAGCGAAACAGAAGGTTGAGGCTGGAAATAAAGGATCGTCTCAGTGGTGAGGTCCTTGTTTAATCTTGACTAAGTTTTGTCAGGCTTCAGTCATTGCTTCTCTGTTGGGACTACTATTTTACTATTCCGGATGTCCCAACACCAGAAGCAATTTTGCTTTATTTATGTTTTTGAAGATATCGATAGCTGATGGAGATGAAGGAAAGGAAGAAGAGGTTAAGTCTACAAGGGCTACACTTAAATTTCGTAAAGTTACGGCGGGAATTTCACGTTATGGTTCTTCTTATGCCAGTCTCACTTCCTCTTTTCTCATTGTGTGATTATATGGTTTGTAAGGGAGTGCGAAATGTTAGGCTTTAAGTCATGATTATTGAAACTTATGAAGAACTAAATTAAATGTTCCGCCAAGGTTACTTGTGAATAATGAATTGTGAGTAAGAAACTATAAATCTTAGAGTTTATGATTATCTGCAAGGGATCATCGTTCCCCTCTTAAGTCTGGATGAAAAGTTACGTTTGAAGCATATGCATTTTGGGCCGCTGAAGGGGCTGCAGATTGTAATTGAAAATTTTCTCTTATTCATTTCTTTTGTCTTCAATGGCAGAGGGAGCAGTGATGCTTGCTTGATGGACTTTGCACCGTTCAAGTTTCATGCAAGGGTGAACTCACCGTTCTGCACATTGCTGCTGGAGTACATTAACTGATAAGCAGTGTGTGGAGTAGGGAATGAAGCTATTGGTCCGTTGAGCATTTAAAAAATGTTACAACTTGATGATATCTCTTGTGCAAGAATTCACAGATCTTGACATATAGGCTGATTCTGTAACTGTATCTGCTAAGCTTGATCTAATTCATTGCGAAGAAATCTTTAATTTAATTTTCCCATTCAACGTTGTCTTTTGCTTTAAGTTGGAATAGTTCTTTTCAGTGCCGGCCAAGAAAGTTTCGTTTCGATTTCTTTTTGCGGTGAGATGTCTTGTAAATCATGAAATAGGATTGTTAAACCCTGTTTTTTTTTTTTTTTTCTTTTTTCGAAAATAAAAAACCCGGGAGATCCTAACTTGGAAGATGAGGACTGGAAACGCTCGAGCAGTCTAACAGATTTAAGTTGAAACAGAAAGGAAGGAGCAGGAGAAAGCAGAAAAATTACAGACTGGTAACTGGCATTTAAGTTCATGCTTAGTCATGGAACAGTTAATCTTCTGAAGGCAGAAGCAAAAGCATATTTATATGGTCAAAGGATGACATGTTTTAGTTTTCGTTACATAAATAAGCTTACAGAAAGGGTGTAGGATTGGAAGAGAACTGTAGAAGTTGAAGTTTGGAGCCATTTTATGCACAAGCAGAAGCCCCTTTGGAAGTTTAGTCGTTGATGACTGTGCAGGTCAAACCCTCAATTGTTAAAAGCTGGAACTATTAGCATAATTTTCTTTGCAGGTTTGCTGCTGGTGTATGTGGTCCTCCCTGCTGCTTGCACTGGAAACTCGTGAGTTTATTTAGACCTGGTTTGGCCTTTAGGTATAGAACTCCCCACAAATAGGTATCGCACTTGCAGATCTGTGTGAGTCGAAACTAAGGCCTCCATGTTGGAATTCAGACCATCTTCAACATTAATAAAACTTGAATAAAAATGAGAAAGATAGAGATTTTAAGAGGAAGGAGCAGTTTACTATTGCAGAAAATAGGAGTCTGAAAGGTAGAGAGAAAAATAGAGAGATTGAGCCAACTTTTTCAGATATTTTGTTCTGCCTTTTTTACAACAGCACAAGGCCGATATATAAAGGAAATAGTCAGGCCTTGTTTTACAACAGATCTAAGCCATACAGGTGGCACTAGATCAGAGTTCCAAAGCATTTTAAATTACAAAAACAGTTTAAGTAAAGCATTAACTTTTAACACTCCCTCTTAATGCTTTGATGCTTCACTCCCATAAGTTCTCTTAGGTAGATGAATCTATCCTTTGGTAATGCCTTGGTGAAGATATCAGCTACTTGATCTTTTGTCTTGCAGTAGACCACTTCCACTTCCTTGTCTTCCACAGCACCTCTGATGTAATGATGTTTCAGAGCAATATGTTTTGATTTTCCATGACAGACAGGATTCTTGCTCATGGCAATAGTTGATTTGTTGTCACATAGGATAAGAGTTGCTGATTCTTGTTTCTCACCAAAATCTTGCATAATTCTTCTCAACCACACTGCTTGAGAAGTTGCAATTGAAGCCGACACATACTCAGCCTCTTCCGTTTATAGTGCAACTGATTTCTGCTTCTTAGACGCCCAAGAGAATACACCATTCCCTTGTCATGCAACATTGCCTTAGCCATTTCGACTATGGTTCTGTTTTTTCTCTCAGCTACTCCATTTTGTTCTGGAGTGTAGCTGACAGTAAGCTGCCTTTCCAAACCAATATCTTGACAAAACTTATCAAATTTTGTGGATGTATACTCTCCTCCTCTGTCACTTCTAAGAACTTTGATTAGATAACCAGATTGTCGCTCAACCATAGCTTGAAACTTCTTGAAGATTGAGAACACTTCTGATTTCTGTCTTAGAAAGTATACCCAAGTCATTCTGGAATAATCATCCATGAAGATTAGGAAATACTTGTTTCCCACTTGAGCAGAGGTCTTCATGGGTCCGCAAACATCTGTATGAATCAATTCCAATGGAACTTTTGCTCTCCAAGCTTTACCATGTGGAAATGAATCTCTATGATGCTTCCCAAGTGCACACCCTTCACAAATTTCTTCATTTTCTTGGATACTTGGCAACCCATGCACCATTTCTTTTTCTTGTAGTTTCTTGAGACTTTGAAAATTCAAGTGGCCAAGCCTTTTATGCCATAGCTTTGAATCTTCTTGCACTTCCATCTTGAATGCAGATTGAGTTGCATACTCAATTGTGAGAGGAAAACTTCTACTCTTCCTCATCTCAATCTTAGCCAAGAGTTGTTGACGATTCCTCCTATCATATATCTTGCAAGTATTGTCTCCAAAATATAAGTAGTAGCCATGCTCAATGAGTTGTCCAAGACTTAGCAAATTTTGCTTCAAATCAGGAACTAACATGACATCCTTGATGAACATCTTTCCATTCTTCGTATGCACGACAATAGTACCTCTTCCCAATGTATCAACTAGCTGCCCATTTCCCATCTTCACTCGGGTTAGGTTTGTAGTGTCAACATTATGGAGAATATTCTTGTTCGCCGTCATATGATTGCTACAGCCGCTGTCCACAAACCAAACTTTAGCTTCTTCTTGGACGGTTGTATCATGACCAACATAAAACATATTGGTCTCTTCATCTTCTGCTTTGGTGTAGTGAGCAAGCTGATTATCTTTATAGGTACAATCCTTTTGCATATGCCCGAATCTGCTACACTTGTGGCATTTCACTTTTCCCTTGAACCAACATTCACCGGAATGAGCTTTGTCACAAATTTTGCACTTCGAAACATACGAACTCTTCTCAACTTTTTTCTTCTCTTCAAAAATACCCTTTCCTTCCCATGGTTTGTTTTTGCCTTTCCAATTCTTGTTGGACTTGGCTTTGCTTTGACTTGAACTAACTTGAGTTTTTGGATTCACTGTAAGTGTTTGGAAAGCATTTTCTACATCATTGTTGTCATGCCTAGATAGTCTCTGAGCAAAACCTTTGAGAGAACCAATCAATTCTTCAACACTCAAAGTTGACAAATCCTTAGTCTCCTCTATGATTGAAACTATGTTATCATACTTTCTTGGCAAGCTAATTAGATACTTCTGAACTATTCTCTCATCAGACAAAATTTCACCATAGCTTTTCATTTGATTAATAATCTCAGATAATCTACTCAGGTAATCATCTAGCAATTCATCATCTTTCATTCTTATATACTCAAAATCTCTTCTCAAGGATTGGAGTTTGACAGCCCTTACCTTAGTAGAGCATCTGTAGACTTTCTCCAGCACATCCCAAGCTGATTTGGCACTTGTCTCATTTGAGATTCTCGGAAAAATTTCATCTGAGATAGCATTTTGGATGACCCCAAGAGCTTTTGCATCTCTCTTGATGTTTTCCTTCAGCTCCCTTGTTTGAGTCTCTGTCAAAATCACAGTGCTTAGAGGTACAACATAGCCATCTTCAATCAAGCTCCACAAATCATGAGATACAAAAATTGTTCTCAACTTTGTCCTCCAGAAGTCGTAGTTCACTCCACTAAAGATAGGAGTTCGAATCTCACCACTGCTACTTGAACCAGCCATGAATTTGAAAATTTTTTATTCTAGGGTTTCACTTAGAATTTTCCCCCTTTTTTGAGAATCAAAAAACGCCCCACTCTTTTGATCAGATTGGCTCTGATACCATGTTGGAATTCAGACCATCTTCAACATTAATAAAACTTGAATAAAAATGAGAAAGATGGAGATTTTAAGAGGAAGGAGCAGTTTACTACTGCAGAAAATAGGAGTCGAAAGGTAGAGAGAAAAACAGAGAGATTGAGCCAACTTTTTCAGATATTTTGTTCTGCCTTTTTTACAACAGCACAAGGCCGACATATAAAGGAAATAGTCAGGCCTTGTTTTACAACAAATCTAAGCCATACAGGTGGCACTAGATCAGAGTTCCAAAGCATTTAAAATTACAAAAACAGTTTAAGTAAAGCATTAACTTTTAACACTCCAACCACGTGAAGACAATCTAGCTACATCGTTTGTGGATCATAAATGTCATTGACGATGTGTTTACATAAGGAGAATGAGAACGTGGAGATGGGAGATTTTGGTCAATTGTAAAGAATTATAATGTGAATCAACTTTATTTTCATTCCGATTCCTGATAGTTAATAAACAATTTAATGGGAATGTCTGATTCCAATTCATGCTTACTCCGATTCCTGCTTACTCCAATTGTTGCTTACTCTGATTCTTAGCTAGTAAACATGCCCATAATGCATGAGATAGCTACTTTCAAGTTTCAATGTCTGTTTCTAAAATTTCACAAAAGTTTCCCATAAAGAATAAAAAAAACAAATGGGGAAGAAGAAAATAACAATTAATTTGATGTTAGAGTTTACATAATTAGCACAGAGACAGAATATTTTCACATTTACAAACAAGCGGACATGAATTCATGATTATACCCATATAGGCATGAAGAAGTTGGCTATTTATCCAACATCATGCCTACTTATGTTCAAAGTCGTTTTACGAACTAACAATTTGGTTTCATGAATCTACTCACAATTGACTTGTTATTGTCGTTGAAGGAGGAGAGTTTGGTGGTAAAAAGGCTATGACTCGCTGCAGAAAGGGTGGAAATTAATTTGCCTACCGCAGAAATTAAACTCACTTGTACCAGATTACGTTGTGCCACCACAACGGAGAGGGCCAGCTACAACGATCTAGGTGTTGAACTCACCTACAGTATGTTTATATCTTACTTACATTCTTGTTTGTTGAACATTAGACATCCTCCAAACCATCGGAGATAAACTTACTATGTCATTTGTGGATAATATATGTCAAAAGAATGCATGGGATGTGCGATCATTTGGCATCTGGTTTCCCTAGAAGCCTTAGATCCTTGAATGCTTGCATTCACGAGGGAGACCTTTGGTGAACTTAATACGGTCAGTGCAGTAGTCATAGACCATGAACTTGTGCTGCACCCATCGAAGCCTATTTCATTCTGCAGCATTGAGCCCTTGGTTTGCCCATGAAGCACCATCCGCTGACCTATTGGTAGATGTGGAGGCACAAGATGGTCCTTGTGACCCAAGGCAAGCGTTTATGTTGAGGTTTCTGTAAGAGGCAGTGAAAGGAGCTAGGCTCCAGTCAGTCCTCACATGCCCACCTTGTGTTGCCCAGTGATCGGCATTCCAAAAAGTTGCATAAATCCTCATGGGTTGGTTTTTAGGGAATGGAAGACCAATTGATTCCAAGTTGTTGAACACTCTAATTGGACTATTATCCACCAAGAATCTGCGTAATAGTATGTGTTCAAGGTGAGTACGATGAAAATATTGGTAAAGATTGTCTACTTCCTGGTACCAACGAACTGTACTTTGTAATCTCAAGTGTAGGAAAGAATTGTAGATCGGTATTTGGTACCACCAATTAAAATTTACAATGTTGTCTAGTTTATGGTACATGTCGGTGAGTGCTACTTACATAATGCGCTTGGTGTTCCAAACAACGGAGTATGTGTGGAAGTCCTGAGTGGGATCGAACCATACGCGGAATTGTTGTTCCTTGAGCCCTTGTCCTTGGGCGTAGACATTAGTATGGATAGTGTAGGGTTCCCCAGTTGAGTTGCCCAGAAACTCAAAGTCAATCTCATCATGATTTGAACCCGAGGAAGATAACTGCCTATGCATGCATGCAAATGTTTCAACAATTAGCAATGCGTATTCAATATTTATGGAAATAATACCGATAAAATTAATTAGAGCTAGAGATTGAGAGTTGTTACACAAAATGTGGTGACAGTACCAGCTGAGTTTCCAGGTTGCAACTTGATTTGCATATCAAACCTTCCAAATAAGTACTCATTCTTGGATTTGAAACCTGCTCCAGAGGATTTGTCAAGGGAGAGGGTGACAAGTTGTCCATTTTCGAGTACCTTGGCAAGTTGATCGCCGAACATAACCTCAAAGTCTTGATAGAAATTATCGGCTGAGGCAACCACGGCCACCAGAGAAATTGTGATCAAAGAAAGAAAAAACATCATCGAGACCTTAGAAGAAGACATTTTTATTTGAAGAATTTTTTATAGGATTTAAAAATAAAATTGAAATTTGTTAGGAGGATAATTTCGAAACAAGACCTTGAAAACTTCTCAGAAACAGAAAATGAGGAAATGTTGTTTACAAAAGTACTTGAATTTTTTTCTAGATTTTAACTTTAAAAAGTAAAACTAAGAATACAATCTAAATTAATCTTCAGATTGTATCTCAATTTGTGAAAATTGTTTCCGAATCACAGAATGTTGGTTATATGTTGTGGGCAGATCAGTGGTGTGCTGCGTTTGAATAGATCATGCTGTTCTTAGAATATTGAGATTGAATTGTCCAATGTGGTTTCCCTTTGCAAATTGGAATTGTGGCCATGCCACAAACTAGCAACATATTTTTTGGATGATGCCGTTGTAATCAGTCTACGTAACTTCACCATAAATGTTGTTCTTATGACTATATTTAGGATACTAATTAGTAACAGTTATGATCTTCATTACGAGATAATGCAAACACCGTTGACAGATTAATTAAAGAGGTTCGACATAGAGTCAACTAAGACTCGTAAAAAATTTGGAATGACACAACATGACTCAATTGCAACACGAAATTAAAATTCTACTAAGATGATTTAACAATGAAGTGCTTTATTGCAGAATCTCAATTAAGCTTACGATGAAAGAATACAACCATGGGATAGTAATGTCACATTACAAAATCTTTATTTGCAGAAGGAAAAAGGAGTGCTTCATAAAATGAAGCTAATTACACAAAAGAATGAATGCTGCGTACTTGCAAAAGAGGGAATATGTGATGGCACTATATCTGGATCTTTAGAACCTTGATCTTCTGCATTCAGCTGGGAGGCCTTGTGGGAAACGTTTAAGGTCATTGCAGTAGTTGTAGATCATGAACTTTTGTTGCACCCATCGAAGCCGGTTTCGGCCTGCTGCATCAAGACCTTGAGTCTGCCATGCACTGTCTCCTACTGAATTGGTAGATGCAGTGGAGGCACATGAGGATGATGAATCAGCAGTACAAGCATTGGCCTTGAAGTTTCTGTAAGAGGCAGTGAAAGGAGCTTTGGTCCAGTCTGTCTTGACAAGGCCACCTCTTGTTGCCCAGTCATCTGCATTCCATAAGCTTGAGTAAATCCTCATGGGCTGGTTTTTAGGGAATGGGACTCCAACTGATTCCAGGTTGTTGAACACTCTGATTGGAATGTTGTCCACCAAGAATCTGCACAACATTAATTTGTATATGTATTTAGTTAGTTTTTATTCAGTAGCTAGTTAGAACATTGCTTGGCACATGTTACTTATTCATTTCTCATATTGTGATTTGTCTGCAGGGAGGAATGACTTCGTACTTGTACGACCCAAGCATTTTCCGGTTAATTATATATGAGAAACTTTAAATGAAAATAAATGAATTAACTGTAGGTGTGAAAGTTGCAAACTTACATAATGCGTTGGGAGTTCCATACAATGGAGTAAGTGTGGAAGGCATTTGTGGGATCAAACCAAAGTTGAAACTGCTGTTCTCTGTTCCCTTTTCCTTGGCTGAACACATTGGTATGGAGAGTGTAGGGATCTCCAGATACATTTCCCAAAAACTCAAAGTCGATTTCATCATGAGTTGGACCTTCAGAGGATAACTGCAAAGTTGCATTTGGTTTCATAAATTAGCAAATAAATTATACAATATATATCTATATAGAATTACAAAGGATACAAATTAGGAGGATATGTAGTAGTAGTACTACTTACATAGTAGGCAGTGACGGTTCCAGCCGAATTCCCAGCGACCAACTTGATCTGCATATCAATCCTTCCAAATAAGTACTCATTTTTGGACTTGAAACCAGACCCTGAAGCCTGGTCAAGGTTGAGCGTGAGAAGCTGTCCTCCATTGAGTATCTTGGCACGTCCATCGCCAAATGTAACGTCAAAGTCTTGGTAGAAATTACCAGCTGAGGCAGCCATGAGCATCAGAGAAGTTGTGAACAAAAAAAGAAAAAGCACCATATTCACTGGGAGCTTGCAAGAACACATTCTGATGAATGTAGTGTGGATACTGTAGACAGACAGACGTAGCAAGAGAATAATGAGCTTCAAGAAGAAATGAGGGTGTGTGTTTGAAGCTATAATTCGAGTTCTGAAGTCCTTTTATATAACTAGTATGCCGCGTCGAATAGATAGCTGGCGTAATAAAAAAAGTAAAGCTCAAAACTGGCAGTAGGGTTTGCAAATAATTACTTATATGCTTCTAGCTTTATTTCAGACTTTGAGTGCGGCGGGCCGCGGTGCCACAGGAATTGACTACTCGCATTGCCAAACTCAATAATATATATATATATATATATATATATGTATGTATGTATGTATGTATGTATGTATGTATGTATGTGTATATATGTGTATATGTTGCTGGCTGGAGACAGGTACGTAGACGATAGAGGATTAAAAGAGAGTCAGGAAGCCGCATGGAAGCCAGACGTTTGTTATGTGAAAGGGAGAGTTGAGGTTGTGAAGCATTTTTAATTGGTTATTGTGGTGCTACAACACATGTGGACAAAGAGAAAAAGGTATAAGCCGCGTTTGGTTGGTAACAAATTCGTCTCTTTATTAATTTGATTCATCAACAGCTATGGATACACAGGGTGCACCTAACATTATTGAGTTCAGGTCAATAAATTAACAGTGTAGAAACAATGTATTTCTTTGCCGTTCCCTGCATGCATGAAACAACATGGAACATAGACATAAAATCCAATTGAATTGAACAAATCAAAGAAATTGAATGGACAAAAATGAGGGGAGTGATGTAATTTGGTAATTTAATATACTAAAATTTGATAGAAAAATGGATAAGAAGAATAAACAGCCTCAAAGCTTTATTTTGTGTTTCTGAATATTGCTCAAATGGTTGCAGAGCATTACAAGATGTTCTCTTATCAAGATTGAACCACATTTGTGCTTGTAGTTGCTGAAAAAATTTGTGAAACAACATAAAAATTTACATAATAAAGGTAAAATAATAACATATTAATTATAGTTTAAATATATTAATAATAAAATGTTATTACCATATTGGCTGGATTATTGCCACTTTAATAAATTTCTTCCGCTTTTGCGATGACTTCTCGCCAAGTTTTTTTTTTTTTTTTTTTTTTTTTTTTGGAAAACCTCGACGGTACGAGGGTAATTTTATTGATAACGAAAAAACAAGGTACACCTAGTCAGGGGGGGACATAAACCTTACCCCTCCAAAAAACAGAGATAACAAAAAGGAATACACTAGAAAGAAGGGGGGACATAAACCTTACCCTTCTAGAAACAAAAAATGAGAATGATACAAAGAAAAGAGGGGGGGACATGAAACCTAACCCCTCTAGAACCAAACATGAAGGTCTAAACCTGCAAAACAAATCAAACAACACCATAAAGATAGGAGAAAAAAAGGAAAGTGAGACAAACCTGGATGCCGACATGCACATTAATTTGAGAAGCGGTAACCAGGCAAGCCAACATAGTCAGAAAACAGAGTAGCACGAACCGCCATCGGAGGAGAATCATGCCATGTTAAAGATGGAGAAGACAAGCCCATGTTAGCAAAATTGTCCGCAACAAGATTTCCTTCTCGATATATGTGAGATGCGTAGAAAGTCATTTTCCGAATGCGATCCAAACAAATAGACCATTGCGTATGAAGAGGCCAAGGAGGATCAAAATCAGATGATTGAAGAGCAGAAATAACACTAGAACTATCACTTTCCAACCAAAGACAGTGCCAACCCCGCTGATAAGCAAACTCAATACCAATAATAATTGCTGATAACTCTGCAAAAAAAGAGTTGCAATGACCAATCCGTTGACAGAAACCTCCGAGAAAACAACCATGGCAATTCCTGAAAACTCCTCCACATGCAGCAGGACCGGGATTTCCTTTAGACAAACCATCTGTATTAAGCTGCCAAGTTTTCAAATCTTTATGTAGATGTTTGTACCTACTCGGTAGAGATTGCTCGGTTTGAGTGTGCCTTGAAACCGCTCTACAAATTGTGCATGAATCTTCTTTCACATATTCTCGCACTAGATTGTGCCACGTGTCCAAATGGTAACCTTTTCAACTTTTTTCGTTGGAAATCCTACGATCTAGATCATCTGGCCGTTGGAAATCCAATGACTCACAGCAAGTCACGTCATTGAGCCATTGGGCTATGCTGTAGAGAGCCCAACCTTGCAGTTTGTTGCCCACTCTCTAGTTTCATGTAACACGCGCTTGACATAAAAAATAAATAAAAAATAAGGTGGTTGGCGTCAGCTTGATCGCTGACACAAGGCCGAGCTTCAGATGCTCGAGCATTTGGGTGGCTTTGCTTGGCCCACCATACCTGCCCTTGCATCTTTGAACAGGTGGAGGAGTGTTTTGGGGTTGGAGGGCAAGTTTTGGGTCCCTGCCCTTACCTTTCACCAACTGCTGGATATACTCTAATATTATTTCAACTTAATCATCTATTATTAGATATTAAGTTTTATCACATAAGACATTGATGATATTAAGAATAAAAACTCCTACATATTAATGTATATTATTTTATCATATGCTTCGTAGCTTCTACTTTTATTGCGCTGAATTTGCAAACCCGTGTCCAGCTTTAACACAAGTTGTGGGCTTTTGCAACAAGTCAATTTTCAGAGAACAAAATCATATCATATAACCCCATACCTAATAATTTGTAACCAAATATATGCTGCCAGTTTTGAAACTTTAATTAGTTTATTAAATAATGACAGCCCTATTATTCACGCGGCATACTTTACACTACTCGCTCGAAGGTTTCCAGCATATAAAGGGCTCTCACAACTCTCAATTTATACCATCAAACCACAAACTGCTTCATTTCTAAAGCAATCAAAATGTCTTATTCTTCTGAGAGCAATTCCACTCCTAAAACTTTGCGTTAGCACCCAGCGCATTTATTCACTCAAGTGAACAGTAATAGACCTTAGTAAACAGTAATAGGTCAAAGCATCTCCACCCCTAAAAAAATGCGCTGGCACCCAGTCTAAAAATGTGCTGGTACAAACAATCTCTACCCCTACAAAATGCGCTGGCACCCAGCCCATTTAAATTTTTTTTTTAAATTTTTTATAAAAGAATAAATAAATAAAATAGTTTTAATTTCGGATAAGATTTTTAAGTAATCTTATTTAGTGTGTGTTTTTTTTTTTAAGTTTATATGGTGAGGTTGTGTAATTTTATTTGGTGTTTTTTTTTAAAGTTTATTTGGTGAGTTTAATGTAATCTTGTTTGGTTAGTCTAATGTAATCTTATTTGGTTAGTCTAATGTAATCTTATTTGGTGTTTTTTACTACTCATGTGAAAGCGATAAAAACTCCTATAATACTTGCAAGAATCACAAGGTTGTTGTAGTATAAACGGATTTCGCAAGGTCGTTCTCCACAGAGATTATTAAATAATTCGAAATAAACCAAATTCCAATTAATTATTGTAAAGAAGAAATTGAGATGATTGATTTTATAACCTACTTAAATTAAAACGAAATTTAACTATTAAAGATAGGACAATCTGCAATATTAAAACTAGAAGGAAAAGAAAACAGTTTTGGAAGAAATCAAACTAAGAAAGCACTAGGGTTCCACCATCACCTAGCAATCCTATGAACTTTTACCAATTACTTATGATCTACACATGACACTTTGAAGGTTAGATTTTCCTAATTTATATTCTACTTGGAACCTCTAACATAGAACGTATATCTAACATACAACCCGTCCGGACGTTCGGATCAAATCAGAACATGAAAGACTCATTATGCTTTATGAAAATCATTTGAAAAACCATGCAACCCTTAAGACGTGGTGTTCATCCTAAGTGAAATTACAATTATTAATCACAAGAAGCCAGCGTCAATTTCAGGGAACCATCCGACCAAAATTGCATCAAATTACTTTTCTAAATATCCTAATGGTGATCAGGCATTAAGACAATTAGATAGTTTTAATCCCGGTGATTAATAATTCAAAGTATGCATGCAATCAATCATAAGCAATTAAATAAAAATAACATATTCATGCTAAGGCTCAAGGCTTCGCCCTAGCAAAAGAATTTAGTTATGCATATTCATAATTGAAATCATAGAAAATATTATTAAGAAAATGATTGAAAACACCTTCAAGTAGAAAATCTCCAAAACCCTAGCAATTCTCTCTGTCTCCAAAATTGCATAAAATAAAGCGTAGAGAAATATTGTAGACGGCCAAGCAATCTATCTGCTAAGCCCCCCACACAAACCCTAAAAACAGGTCCTTTATTCCCACTAGGAAACTAAAAAAATAAAATAAAATAAAATAAGAAACATAACCCTAAATTAAATGGTAAAATTCGATTAAAATCTGAACAGCCACGTTTTAGACCCATAAGCTGCTCCAAAACTGGCCCAATATAGCTGGATTTAATGTTTGGAATATTTTGAACACTTCTCCAGAAGGCCACGAACCCATCCGAGGTCATCTTGGGCTCCAAAAACGCAATTTAAGCAAAAAAACGTCATTTTCCAGCACTGCACATTGCTCCTTTATTTTATCACAAAAAAATAACCGCTTGGTGGAAAAATCCCAAAGTTTGATACGATCAAGCTAAGTGACTCATGAATGTTTTACAACTGAAATTACTCCAAAATTCGTCCATTTGGTCATGCTTTGCTCCATAGGAATTCGAAAGTCCTATATTGAAAATACAATTCAAAGTATCAAAATTCTTCCAAAATATTAACCAAAATATACTAAGATTAGGGTAAAATATATAATATAAAATCTAGTCATCGAAATACCCCCAAACTTAGCTTTTTGCTTGTCCTCAAGCAAAACAAGACTCAAACAAAAATAAAAACTTTACAAACTAGACAACTAGCTAAAACTCAACCAAGACAAAACTTCCACCTTCAAGTTGCAATCCAAGCAAATTTAAAAAACTACAACATCTTTTCAAAAGTTCCAACCAATCCCACCACAGAGTCTAAACCATTTAGAATCAATTAGAAAATAATTCACAAACTTCCTTTGGTGTAAAGTGAACCAACATAGTTAAGGAGACTCGA